CAAAGGTATAGTAGCCTAATTGAGTAGGTTTACTAATTTTATGTAGCAAGTTCAGAGAACATAACTATTTAAGAAGGCACTTAAATGGAATTGCAGCTTTCAGACCATATATTGTTGAATGAAGAAACTAGCAAATAGCTCTTCCATATTTTGTCCTTTTCATAGTGAACATTTGAAATTATTCCATAGACTTCATGCTTTCAAGCAATTCATGGAGGCTTATTTTTTTTTTTTTTTTGACATATGGGGAAACACACAGATCAGTACAGATAATGACAGACACAATAAAATATGTACAGTATTTTGAAGGAAAAAAAAAAGGTGTTACCTCAGTTTCTAATTCAGGCTAAATTTAACTCTGGAATAATTGCCAAACATATGAAATACCACAATTATTAAAAAACAAACTAAAAACTTAAGGGTTATGAAATGTTGGGTCTCCAAATTTGAAATATAACAAGTTCACTGGGTTTATAATGTGTAACTATTGCCAAAGCTTTAAGTTGGTGGGGTACAATTTTTTCCATGAATGTAGATGATAGCTGTAAATCAGGTTTTCATGTTCTTCTCAGGTAAAACAAAATGTGCTTGCTGTTGTGGTAGCCTTTACACAATTCATGCATACTTTATTTTAATTTCCCTCCCCAAATATTTTTGCTGTGCAGGGTCCGGTGTTTTTCCTTGAAGATGGCAAATCTGCTATTTCACTGAATGATGCTTTGATGTGGGCCAAAGTGAATCCTTTTTCACCACTAGGAACAGGAGTACGACTTAACCCATTTTGATGAGGTGTTTTCCTCTGTACTTTGTAGTGCTTAAAATACCACCCTGAGGGTTAATAATTATTTCATCCTTGTCAAAGGACAGAAACATGGCTGTTGACTCCTCTGGAAGGGAAATTACTTGTACTTTGACAATTGTAAAATGAGAATAAGGGTTTCTATACAAAAGTTTGTTGATAATCCAAAGAAAAAGTTATTTAAGAATCCAAAGAAAGAACTAACTACATAGACAGCCATGTCTTTTTTTAAGTAAGAATGTTGTTGTCAGACAGTACAGACATATTTCAGCCTGCTCTGTGTAAACAGAAGCCTTGTAAAGAAAGGAAGCAACTATCAGCATGTTATCAAAATATTGGTAACAAACTGTGATATCCATAAACTCACTTTCAAATACATAATTTCAAGTACATAATAGAATGACTTTATTGTTGGGAACTGCAACCTGTTTTTAAACTAACTGGAATCCTGTGGCTGTTTCATACATGGTGTTCTCCTTTTTAATTTAAACTAGGTTTTGCACACAGGATTCTATAACAGATAATTTTTTCATCCCTTAGTTATTGTGCTTTAATAAGAGTATAAAGATGTTTAATAATGTTTTCTTTTGACAGGTTTGACTACCTAGATTATAAAATTCTATTTTCTAGCAAGTTCATTTTTGCAACTGTCCCCCTTATACTTTCATGGGAAGATAAAATCTATTTCTAAATTTTATTTATTTTTTTTAAACAAAGGGTTTGTAAGGAACAAACAGCAAATGTATTGAAATTATTTAAATGTTATATACATTAAAAATACCTGTTTTCTTTTTACATTTTATATTACTTATAAATATACATATAGTGTGAAAGACCAGAAGAATATACATCTGCATATATTTTTATTTATTAAAGCTCTGCTCAAATGGAAAGAAAATTTTGGCAATAGAATGCTAAGAATATTTAAATTTTAAAGCTGTGTATAGTATGGAATTTAATCATAAGACAAATCTTATTCTTATTAATAATTATTCTTATTATTACATCTTATAATCAGAATTGCCTGTAGAAAAGATGCCTTGGTTATACTATTCTTTCTTAGCTTAATTGATGGCACATAAGCAGAAATCTGCTTTGTCTGTTGTTAGATTTTTTGCTGCTTTAAAATAATTTTTGAAATCGTGCTAGATACATAAAATTGAAAGAAGTAGAAATTGAAAACTGGCAGAACTATTTCTAGAGAAACTGTGGTAAAGCTGGAAGTAATGGTCTCCTTTTGCAGGCCGTATTGAACAAAATCTTCAATATATAGGTAAGCAATGCCCTCATTTAACTGGATATAACAATGCCACCATGCTGGAAAGGTGGAAAGGAAATTAGAAATTTAAAAAAATCATTTTGATTTCTGCCCCCCCCCACCCCCTTAAAAAAAAAAGTTAAGAATTCATTCTGTTGATGTCCTAGGCTATTATTTCTGGTTTCTGGTTTATGAACATACTGGGCAGGGCAAAATAAGCTTAGTTGTTTTGCAACCTATACAAAACCATTTCTGTATATGCTTGGATGCTGGAACAGAATGTTTTACTTCTTGCAGGTGTTGTTTGGAAAATGTTTTCCTTTCATTAACACTGGGAAGTTGGGGAATGAAAGTTTGATTACTGAAATAAAAATTCATAGTTTTTGAAATAATTTTCCAGCAGTCAGTATCTGATGTGTTGCTTCTGTCGAATGAAAGACTAGTTATCTTTTAGCACATAAATTGTACAACCTTGTATGCAGAAATTGTTAGTACAGACTTGGAGAGCAATGGTAAGAGTTCACAAATGCAGCCCCATGACTGATGATTGGGATCTGAAGGATTGACTCAGCTGCCACTCTACTATATTCAAAATATTTTGCTGCATCCTAAGGATTTTTAGCAGCAGATTTTTAACAGTTTAAATTACGTAGTATGACTGCATCAATTTGTTGTGCATAAATTGTGCCTTAACGTGGAACCTTAGACAAATGTACTCCATCTTTAAATTAGACAGTGAGGGTTAAGAATGCTTTCATGTGCGAAATACAAATCTTAAGTCAAAAGGCACTTTTTTGCATTGGGAATCCATCAGTCATTGTGACTAAAATAAGGCTGCGTTTTCTTTAAGGTGGTGGTACCCCATGTAGTGAGTGAGGGCAACATGCAGAAAAGGTTGTAATTGTGTCTACTGCTACAGCTGTGTTTGCAACTGTCAAAATATAGATTCTTCATCTTCAAAAATAAGTTCAGGTTGTTCAACATGTGACTCCATTGTCTCCCACAGCTAGTCAAACAGTTATTTCCCCTTAACATTAAAGAATTCTTTGTCTTCAAACGGTTGTTTGACTCTTCTTGTAAAAGTCATATTTCTGTTTGAATGAAGACTATCAAGCTCTGCAGCTAGTGCTTTCAATTTACTATTAAATCTCAGTTAAGTTTAACATTGCTTTATCGGTACAAAATCCAATCCATTGTCTGACGAACATTACCGACATGTTTATAAGCTTCACAGGCTGCGCTCGTGTGAGAGACTCGTAACGGGAAACCAAATTTGACCGTGAACGCACGGGAGCAGCTGCCGAGCTCCGCTCCCCTCCGCGCTGTGTCTGGGGCCGTAGCGCGGCAGCGTCTGCCATCCCAGGTACCCGCTGCGGCATGCGGGGAGCCCCTCACCGCCTCCCGGCATCGGCCGCGGCGAGGCAGGGGACTGGGCGGCGCGGGCACTGCTGATGGTAGCTACGAGGGCTGGTGGGACCGGACGGAGCTGCTCTCCCCTCCCGTGCCCTCCCTCAGGGCCCGCGGGCGGGCAGGGGCGGCAAGCACACGGCAAATGATATTCCGTCTGTTCCCTGAGCCACCGAGCGCGGTAACGTTTTTGTGTGTCCCTGGGGTGCTTGTCGTACACCCGCAGCATGTCACAGTTGGGTTTCTTGAGAACTGAGGTCTTGCGCTACGTTAATTTTTCTGAAAATAAATACTTGCTATTTTTTATTTATTATTTTATTATTTACTTGTATTTATTAAACAGTTCATGTAATAAGAGGTACTCCAGCTAGTAAAGAAAGCTCCTTTGTGCTGTAGTAGTCATTAACAGTGCTCTGACATGGTTCAATGTTTGTTTCAGATCCTAGTTCCTAATATTTTAATATGTTACTTAACATTTATTTCATACTAACAATTCAGCGTAAGAGCCCCCATCAGAATGCCCTTCTTCTTTACCTCTGTGAGAATACTAACAAGCCTGTTTCCTTGCTTTCATTTCTGGCTAAAGGGATTGGTTTGGGGAAAGAATGTTACCAAACGAACACTTGTGTCAGGTATTTTGTTCCTATGTATCTTTGGTATGCAACATTAGCTGTTCTTTCTGCGGGAGACCCGTTCCAGTACATAGTCCTGCACAGGAACAACATCCATTCAAGATTTTGTTTGTTCCTGTTACTATGTAACAGAAGTGATGCCCTATGGGGCTTGGCTCAGCTTGCCAAAGTGACTCTATTTTCACATCATTATCTGGTAAACACAGATTAAACATTATGTTGACAGCTACATGTTGCCTGAGATTGAGGTTATAATATTCCTGTAAACTAGTTCTGGGTTACTCGTCAAGCTAGCCTACTGTTCTGTGTAATTGAGAAAGTAGTGCCACATGCCTGTGGACTCTCAAGATGGTCTTGTTTGCTCTCTGGATGGTGGCAAGGATCAGTGGAAATGGTGGGAACAGACATTGCAGATGCCTTGAGAGCATGAACACACCCATTTGTGATGAGATGGCTTGGACTCTGATGTGACTCAGCAAAACTTCTAACACCATCTAGTTTTGTTTGGAACACGTGCTTTGCAGAGCAGCCTTGCTTGCTGAAAACTAATCTTACTGTAGAGAACACGGGAGAGCTTTGTTTTCTGAGTTTTTCCCGAGTCAAACTTGAGAAGTGCTATGCCACACCTGAAGGAAGGTGAGGGTCAAATGATCTCATTCTACAAAGAAAAGTTCAACAGTGCCATAGTTGGCTTGGCACTTTGGTGTTTCATGAAGTAATACATGGCACTGGTATTGCACATAAAACCACAACTTATTAGCTTCTGGCTGAAAACCAAAACCACCCAACTTGCTCCAGAGTATGTACAATATGGACTCCTAAGCAGTTCCTCTTACTTGCATCTGCCTGTCTTTTACAGGGAGTCTAGAAAATGCCCTCAATAGAGTATTTGCAAAGAACAGAAACAAATGAAGATTACTTTTAATGAGGGCAAGTGTCAGAGAGCTACATTTTATTAGGTGGATATAATTTAGCAACTAAGTTAGCATTCTTCTTTGTGAAAACTTCCTCTATAGTTAGTTCCTCACTTAGCATCTTTCCAGTAGGAACATAAATACTGAGTCACTGAAAAGGAATGGAAGAGGGTGAATCACACAGGACAAGTGATAAATTTTCAAGCATCTCATGCTTTGGTTTGCAGGAATTGAGTATCAGTCACTGAGGAAGTAATCTGTTCTCAAAGGCCAAATGAAAAGCCTACAGAAAGGAGTACTGCATTTAGCTGGAGTAGTCGTGCCACCTTTTTTGACACAACTGGCAACTGTCACCATGCAAGGGTATGTGCAGCCCGTGGTGAGGCAGGCTGTCCCCTGCAGCCCATGAAGGTTAACAGAGGAACAGATATTCATGTGCAGCACAGGGGGGAGCCCACACTGGAGCATGGAGATGGCTAAAGGAAGCTGTGACCCCATGGAAAGCTCATACTGGAGCAGGCTCCCGGTAGGACTTGTAGGCCCATGGAGAGAGGAGCAGAGGCTGGAGCAGGTTTGTTGCCAGGGCTTGTGACCCTGTGGGGAAGCCATGCTGGAGCAGCCTGTTCCTGAAGGAGGCACCCTGTGAAATAGACCCATACTGTTCATGAAGAACTAAAGCCTGTGGGAAGGGCTCATACTGGAGAATTTTGTGGAGGACTAATGGGGGAGAGGTATTGAAAATTAGAATGAATTTAATCCTAAAAAGAGAGGGGTGGGGGGAAGGTGATTTAAAGATTTGGTTTCATTTCCCATTATCCTACTCTGATTTCATTGGTGATAAACAGTGACAGCAATTAGTGAGTGATCTCTCCCTATTCTTATCTCAAGCCATGAGCCTTTCATTATATATTCTCTTCTTTCGTGGGATACTGGCATCCAGCCAGGGTCACCCCACCACAAAAGTGTGTGTGGCTGAAAAAACTCTGGTTATGTTCACAGCAGCATAATTCCAATTCACAGCACAGTCAGGAGTAAATAAAGGAAGTTTCTCACTCTCTGTCATTCATTAATGAATTTTCTATATAAAGAAAAAGAAAAAAATTAACTTTTTTTATTATTATTTTTAACAATGCGTATATAGTGCACCTGTCATCAAGTATTTTTAGGTACACAAACAATGGAAATTTAAAAACATAAAATAATGACTCCAACTGGACAAACTTAACATATAATAATGAAGAAACTCTTAATGTTTCAGATGTGTCAAACAGATCTTAGAAGTGTAAATACAATTAAAATTAACAGCACTAAAGCTATTTAGTAAGTGTTAAGCTAAAGCTATACAATCATTCCCTCCCCCCCCAGTATGAGCACACTTATTCAATTCAGCCTTAATAGCACCTTGGTACCAGTTGCTGAATGGTTCCCAATTATTTTATACCAACACCAGCTGTCAAAGACACGTTTTTTTAAGTAATATGTAAAAGGCATTTTTCTGCCCAGCAGTTTTTTAGGTAAAACATACAATAAACAGAAAGAAGTACTTGTTATTCATGTTCATAAAGGTTAGTTACTCTGTTATCTGTACTGTAAGAAATTCTTCAGTATGGTTGGCAACTGGAGTTGCGGGACAAGATGCAGTCTAGCTCTTCCTATGTAGTTTCGGATACATAATCGGCAGAGCTGACAAAGAGAAGATGGTGTGGCTGCAAACAAAAAAGACAGGATATAATCATACAGGTGTGAAGGACAGAACTTGTTTTACAACAATGGGATTTCTAAAAAAAGTCCACATTTTGCAAATTTGTCCTTTTTCTTCATGGCATTTTTGCCTTCAAAGATAAATACTGGGACTGCCGAAGCCTTATTTATAATCAGACAAACACTCAAAAAAAGCAAGGTCAGGTCAGCAAATCTGTGTTTTTAAATTAAAAACCTATTCCCAGAAAATATGTTAACATGTCAGCAACTTTGGAAATTGTATTTTTTATATTTTTTATTCATACGGCAGGTGAAATAAATGCTACAGCACTACATAGCAACACACATAAGTAGGGAAAATGCCCCAAGATCCTGGACCATGTTTATTGCACTTACTAGCTCATGATCACACCTTTGTCCCTCTAAGCCCCCACTCCCTCAAGATGAACACATTGCTGTGTTTCCCTGGGAAATAAACCCACATGCATTCCATGTCACCACATTTTCATTTCTGACATGTTTGCTGTGGCTTTTAAAAATCCTCCTGACCTTGATAATTTTCTGATAACCAAATGTTTTTAGAGCTTTTTTCCTTTTTAACAGCATTCAGACTGGAGAAAATCATTAATCAGTGCTACCTCTAAAGACATGTCCACAGTTACTGCAATAGTTCCTCTGCTTATATCCCACCTTTTAACTTATTTTTATGCTGCACATAGGTCAGTCTGAACAAATCCAATTCCCTTTGGGATATTCTCTCTCACTAAGGCAACAGACCTCAAGAGTATTGAAGGACTCTGAAGTGCCAGCAACTACTTTTCACGTATTAATAAAACAGCAAAGAAAATGTAGAAAATTAAACTTTTTGCCTACTATCAAAATAAATTGCTTTACATGCATTTAAAAATACCTTTTTAAAATTATTGGGATAGCTGGTCAAGACTAAATATATTTTTCATCTGAAATGGAAATTTTCTTTTTAACAAGAAAAGGTCTGTAACAGCCAATAAAAATGTAGCTTTGATGTATCACCTAGTAAACATAAGAAGATACTTTTCTGGCTTGTAAAAGTTTGGATGCTGCCTGGTCAACAGGCTCTGTCCTGAGACTAAATATTACTGGGTATTTTCATAGTCAGAATGGAATTTACTTGATTATTTCATGAAGCGCAGCATTAGCTTCTGTAACATGGGCTGTTTGGGCTGTTGGTGTTTTTTTCTGTGGTGGGGGGAGGGGATTGTTTTTAAGAATACAAAAGACACAGGTCAATCTTACCTTCATGGAGGAGCAGCACTCTCTCCACTAAACTGCTTGGAGCAGCTAAATCGACAGGCCTCTCAAAATCTGTATTTTTGGCATTTATGTCTGCCCCAAATTCAAGGAGTAAGTTTACAATCTCTGTACTAGAATGCTGGGCAGCAGCATGGAGTGGGGTTTCCAAGTGCTTTCCTTTCTGCACATTGGCACCTGGTGGGCAGATGCACATAAGGAGATGTAAGAAGTGATTAATTACAATTGTCATTGAGTAAAGATGATATTACAAAACAAACAAAAAAACCCACCCACTGTGCTAGAACCCCACAGTGAAGTTAGCCACCTCATTAATTTTGTTACATAGCAATGTAGCTAATCATATCAGTGGATTGTTTTGAACCCGTACACTTATCCTAGGTTTTATATTACTCAAGCACAACCAGGTTTCAAAGGAAAATACTTCACAAAAATAAAAGGAAAACAAAAATCAGATTAGGTCATGTGAGCATCATTGTTGCCCTAATTATTGTACATGTTTAAGAATATTTGCACTACATAAAAATACACTTTCCTTATTTAAGTCTACAAAAATGATCACTAAACTGTAGTATTTATATTTTTGTAAGTACACCAACTCAGTAAGGAATGTAACATGGATGCTTTACAGTTTTTCATGTGTTGAAGTTGGCAAACGGTTTGCAATAGATTCTCATCTCATTCAACCATTATCAAGGATTTTTCTATTAAGGACTTAATTAAGTCAAGAAAGCCAATAGTAAAAAAAAACCCAAACCATTCATTCTCCTAATCCACAAAATTGCAATTATTACACTTTTTTATTAATAAGGAATTGCTAACTTATATTAAATTAAAATGGACTAAATTATTTTGCAGTAATGCACTCATATTCCAGAAAATATTGTCCATATGAGAGTTAAATAAAACTAGCCAGTATGAAAGAATTTCCTTTATAGGCAAGATGATAATCACCTAAAATTGAAGTTGGCTGAACAGCTTTCTAAGACTATTCTAGAAGAAAAACCCAGACTCCTTAAGAGAGATTTACTAATCTTCTGAGACCAAATATTGGCTTCTGTACCAACTTTTCTCCCTTAATCAATACTTTTTGCCTTTTTAATTCCCATTTGGGTGAAATAATAATATCACAGGACAGGCAATTAGAATTGAAGTCTGAATAACCCACTGTTCTCAGTATTAACAATTTGGAAACAGCTCCACTGTATTATTCTCTTGCCTATTTCACTGTCTATTTGCTTTTCAACTTCCAATACATCCTTACAAATTGATGAAATGAGAAAAAATTCAGACTCACATAAGTGGTTTACTTATATTGCAATTTACATATTCTTTTCTAATTCAGGCTACCAATGAGTGTAGAATATGTCCTTCTGTTACTGTTTTTAATGTATGGTAGTATTTGAATCCCAAATACACTAATTATACCTCTGTGGCTCTTAAATATAAAAATCATGACACAGGACAGTTAATCACATAAAGGAGACTTTATGACACAAAAATGACTTAATGTGAGACAATTTAACTGCTTGCTTAAGTTTTAAATAACCTGCAGTTAACTAGGAAAACAATTCCAATGCAATGATGGCAAGTCTGTAATTATTCACATATACATTTTCACACATTGTGCTGCAGGACACAAAAGCCTTTTGTGTCGTTACCTGAAACACAGCAGATGATCTTTTAGCTATGCTAGTTGTATTCCTGGACTTGTGCTGAAATAGAGTGAGCCTCCAACATCTCTTCCCCATTGATTAAATAAATAATGTGAACTTCGGGATCAAATGCCTTTTACCTTACTTCTCTCTGCAACTCGGTCTCTATGCCTTGTAAAAAGATCTATTAGAACATGCTGAAAAATGAAAAATGGTGGGACTACATTGCTAAAAAAGTTCTGCTGAAAGATCAAACATTACTGTAAAAACTTCTTTTCTCAAAAGCCAATTTTTAACCTTTGTTTTTCCTACAGAAAATGAACACCTACAAAGCTGTCAGTAGTAGATGCTAAAAATTTGCATCTACTAGAACATCTGTTCTTATTGGTCATACTTCCTTTTTCCGTAATATGCTTGTTATGCCACAAAAACGATGGAAGACACAGTAACTTATTGTAAGCAAACATGCAGCACAGAATAAACTTCATGGTACAGCCCTGCAAGCAAGGGTTCTAGTTTCACTGATGGAGCACAGCTTACTTCAAAGGCTTATTTCACAAACTAGTAATACTTCTATTTAAAACATTACATACCTGCATAAAGAAGCTTTCGAATACAATGGATCTGCTGTGAAACACAGGCTACATACAGAGGTGTTCCTAAATGAGGAAGGTCTTGGTCAACATCTATACCAGAGGATATCAGTACCTCCAGACATTCACTGTGACCTGTCAGTACAAAGCATGACAGAGTTTGCTCAACTTCAGTAAGCTGTCTCATAGACAAAACAAGACACATTTCTTAACAATGGCA